ACGCGCCGGCACAAGGCCGTGGCCAGAGCTGGCGCTCTGTTGAAATTTAAGACAGCTGCAGCAAGCCCATAAGGATGCGCTCTCAACATCACATACCTGGTCTGGCCCAAGCCTGGGTCAAAGTACGCAACCACAAGTCCTGCCCCCTCTTCAGGCAGGTTAGGGATTTGACGATATGCTGATTGCATGTCCTCAGTGCCCACTGCAAGCTGGGCCTAGGATGGCAGGAAAGCATCGTCAGTGCGCATTGCGCGTACAAGTTGTTTGCAGGCCGACGCGAAGAAGTCCGGAGACGTTGTGTAGATCGCGTTGTGTCCACTTGACCGTCCGTCATCGATCGGCCTCAACTTGCCGCAGTTCTGCTGATGCAAAAAACTTCGCAGCGGCACCCACTGTCCGCGCCCAAATTTGCGGTCAAGGTCAAGTTTAGTGAAGGGCCCCTCAGCTATACCTTGGGTCACTTCGTCAAGCGTGAGTTTCTTGAGCTCAGCTGCAAACTTGGAACCTGGCAAAGAAGACTCAAGCTTGGAGACCACTCGCAGGGCGTGGGATCCAAGAAAGGACCCAAGGCAGGCTGGGTCGGCGGCTCTTCAAGCAGACGGAAGAGGCCCGGATTTTACGTAACCCAACAGCCGAGAACCTACCACAAACCGAAGCCCTAAGGTTAGGTCTGGCCATCTGAGCAGGACCCCTGACACACACATGGCAGCTGGACAGCGGGCGCCAGCCACAGCTTCCACGTTAGGATGCATAGCACCTCTCAGCACGTCTTCCCAAGGCTGCAGAGCCTTGCGCACTGTGTGCCAAGCTCGCAGCTGCAAGCAACGCCACACACGCAGACATGGCCCAAGCGCCGCCATGGCTCTCACGGCAAAATCAGCATCATCATCTAGAACTGCAGATGCATCAAAAGGGCTGGGGAGAGATGTGCTAAAACAGTGATGCAGGTCTTTGCCTACGCCTGCCGGGACCAAAGCAGGCAACGCAAATTTAGAAGTGGCCGCCTCTCTGCGCTCCAAGCGCCTGGGCCGACTGCGCTTGCTGCTTCTGCTGCAACCACTGGGGCCCTTGCAGCTGGCCCTGTGCTTGGCGGAGGCACGTGTCAACCCAGTAAACTTGCAATTTTGCGATTGCCGACTCAAGCTCAGGGCTCGCAATCAAAGGGGGAAGCTGCACATCTAACTGCGCAAAGCACTCTCTGGCCAAGCCATCAGCTTTCCACTAAGCCGGGCTGCCACACTGTGTCCTGCGCCGTTGCACGCACATGCTTTTCGAACCCAATATAAGCACCTGGGGGGGGTGCCTTTGCAGTTGGGCAGCATTGAAATACGAGGGTCAAGGCTAACATGCATGATGGCACGTGGCTGGCACTGCCCAGCAGGGAGCATTTGGAAGCCTCCGCCTCCGTCGAAGCATCCCCTGGGCGGACCCACGCTAACATTGACGTCGGCACGCCCACAATTTGCGCTCGTTCAGAAGACGTGGGTGGTCTCCAGGCTTGGCTTTTCCACAACAGAGCATGCTTTTCGTAACACGACGCAGGGAACCGTTGGCCGTCTTCCACAAAGCGTCGCACGCTCTCCGGCTCAGAAACATCCGCGCGGTGTGGCGAACGCCGAAAGCAGCGTGTGAATGTTGGGAACACATCCAGCACACCTGGGTTTTCTTGCACTCTTGGGCTAAAAGCAGGCCTGAACCCGTCTGCAAAATTCACTTGCTGGGGCCAAGGTTTCTTGCCTCTCCACTCAGGCTATGGTCACAAGGTTGACAAAGTCTTCCATACTCTCCAGCTTCACCGTGTCTGTGCAGTACTCGACAAACTTGTCTGGGAGTCGTGCATCAAGCAGGCATCGCCGAAGTGCCTCCTAATCCCTACCTTGACATCGAACCACAGGCTGCGAAATGAAGGCTGCGCAATCCGAAGCTTGGGCACCTTGCCTCACACAACCGAGGAGGGCAAGAGTAGGCGCAAGAAAGGGACAACATCGACCCAGGACTTGACAACTGTTTGAAGCAATAGGAAGAAAGGATGGCAACGGCAAGCAGGCCCAGCACCACACAATGCGTGAGCAGAAAGCCCTTGCACAGCGTGCCATAACTTTTCCCTTGCTTTCACGCGAGAGTCCTGCTGTAACTTGCTGTCAGGAATTACCCCAAACAAAGCACTTCATAACTCCTGCAAAGCCTCTTGCACAGTCGCCGGCGCTCTCGCCAAGCACTTTCGACACCACACGTCCTGACCCCCGTTCGTAATGACCAGAGTCAAAGGAGAAGTCCCGACAGTAAGGCACTAGGTGACTTGCAGATGTCCTCTGGCAAATGTGCTTGGCGGACTTGGGGGCCTGTGTGAACCACAGGATTGACACCGGCTCACAGGACTGGCTAGAGGATGAGGAACGACTACTTTCTTCCGAGCTTTCTGTGGAGCGCGCAGGCGCAGAAGCAGCGCCGTCTGCCGGCAAAGCACTCCAGGCCGGCGTGCGGCGCAAGTGGTAAACCCGCTCCATTGACACTGGGTTGTCACGCACATCATTCCATGACAGGTCCTCTGTTTTGCAACTCTTTGCAACGTCTGCAAGCGCAACTAAGATTCTCTGCTTTACAGCGCCAGCCGACAAGGCTTTATCGTGCGCGTGTCGGAGAGCCATCTTGTACTGGGCCTGCCCGCCAGCGTTCAAGGAAGCAGGGCGTTCAACCCAGTCCCCCACAGCATCGCGGTTACCCCCGGGCAACGCCATGGCGTCGGCCAGTGTATAGGAAGGAACCTGCGGCAACTGTAGGAAGTGAATTTCACTGCGGAATCATGATCTGCCCCCAGAGCAGCCAGCACCGACCTGCCAACATCAATGAACTGCGACAATGGCATTGGGGACGAGCCGACGCTTGGTGCTTGGCTGAAGAGGCTGCCCTTTCCCTAAATGCAACGCTGGGATGCGCCAACCTGTCTCCCTTCCAAGTTGCTGAGAGAGCTCTTCATGATCAACAAACATCAAGGATGAAACATCAATGCCTGGCGCCACGATTCTCGGGAATGCCCAGTCAAAGGGCGGGCGCGTCGCCTGCACTCGACGTTTACCCATGGTGCAAGTGCCTTGAATATACTGGTCTTTGATGCACAGATTTCTGGATCTTTGCACATGCGAGAATCTGAGGCACGCGACGGTAACAATCAACATCCACATGATGAAAGTTTTGACACTGCCCTGAGCTGATGTGAAGCTGTTGCACAGCGCGAAGAAGAGCTTGATCGGCATAGGCTCCCTATAGGCTGGACAACATGGCCTTGAGTGGGCGCGGCCCAATGGGCCACCAAAGCATCATTAGTTGGCAACGGCAAGCCAACTTTCTCTCTCCACCACTTCAAGGACACGAAGAGGGCAACTGCAGCAGTGGGGCCTCCTGCGCTTGCCTCCTGCAAGAATGAAGACAGGTGAAGGGCTGTTGGCTGGCTTCCAACATGGGACATCCCGCGGCACGTGTGTGTGGTGCCACTGCACCCAGCGCTTGAACACCCGCCTATGAGCCTGCAAGCGATCTTCAGTCACTGCTTGAAAGCTTCTATCAAAAAGTGGTCGGCACTGATCCGGCGCCATTACCAAGTCTTGCCCGAAGGCAACATTCTGGGAACCTGTTGCCACGGCAATTTGAAACATGGCATCCAAGCACAACTGTCTCAGGCCAGATGTCGTTTCTGACCGCGCGGCACCTCTCTGCACATACTGCGTCCGATGTTGTCTTGGCACAAGAATTGCTGGCGGTAAGAGCCGCTTCTTGGGCCAAGCTGCAAGAATAAACGGGACTGTGTTCTGGGTGTTTGGCAAAACTGCAGGCTGTGATTTTCTTGGGTTGGCCCAGACATTTTGAAGCCTGCAGTCCTCCCTTGCAACTGCCACCTTCCACGCTGAAGTCAGCTTTGTTATGATGTTATCATCCGACGACAATTCAAGCACCTCTTCTGCAGAACGAAAATAATTTGCAAAATCCGAAGTGGTCTCAATGCCGAGCCTCTCAAGTACTGCCCTCTCTGACTCCCCCAGTGCAGCTAAAACAGCAAGATCCATGGACTGCCAGAAACGAAAAGAAAGACAGAACGAAAGCAAGAAAGCGGAGCTTGAAAGGGGGAGATGCGGCACGCGGCAACGCGGAAGTGTGCCATCTTTGTGAACCAACCCGCAGAAACAAGCGCAGACAGACAGAAAGATAAAGACAGAGACAGAGATAGACAGACATTACCAAATAGACAGACGCGGACACGCGGAAATAGACAGAGAGACACAAAAAGACCACGGACACATAGAGACAAACAGAGACAAACCGAGACAACCCGAGAGACAGAGAGACACAGACAGACAGATAGAGACAGAGAGGCGCAAACACAAAAAAGAAACAGATTGGGATACACAGAGATGCACAAAGATAGACAGAGAAAGACAGAGATTACAAAATAGATAGATACGGACGCACGGAAACAGACTGGGAGACACAGAGAGAGGCAAACCCGGCACGAAATTTTCGAGAAATTTCGGCTCGGACAGGTCCCCAAATTTCCCCGAAATTTGGCCCGCCAAATTCTGAAGAAATTTGCGGGGGTAACGTCCGGAAACCTAAGAGCCGCGTCGCCGGAAGCGACCCAAAATTCGGGAAAATTTGGCCGGGTTACGCCGCGGGAATTCTAAGCAAAGTTGTTAAAAACCCCCCGAAATTTCGGCAAGGGGCCTTCCGGGCCGAGCGAAGAGGCGGGAGCTTGTGCCGCGGAGAAAAGACCGGGACAAGCACAGCCGCTCGCCGCAAGCACTACGATTCGGCCGGAGTACCGCTGCAACGGCTTGCCGGTGCACGGGAATGCGACCTCGAGGCCGTACCGGTTTATAGGAGAAAATAATTTATATTCAAAATAATTGTTTTGTTTTTCAAATTTGTTGTTTAAGAATATTATTTGTTTTAGTAATTTCGAGAAATTATAATCGTTTTTAGATTGTTACCATATTTTAGCCCTGAAGCCTGCATAATAAACCTAATTTTGGGGCTAACTCTGAATTCATAATCAGCTTGCACGATTTATAAAGTTGAAAGTTACTATATCATCAGATTGTTAGGTGAAAATGCGCATGGCGCGGCTGATTGCCAATCCACCTGATGCGGCGAGCGGCTGTCGATCAGACTGGTCTGCTTGAGGAACTTAAGGGGTCACTTTACCCACACAATCCTCCTTTCGGGGCCATTGAGGTTGATCTCTCGACTCTTACACCCACCAGTGATGATTCAGTTGGGGCACAAGAAGGGCAATTGCCACCGCATCGATCTCCTCCGCGGTCTGCAGCCTGACAAAAGCAAAAGGCGCCTGCCACAAACGGCACGAAACAAAAAAACCTGGACAAAGGCCCCATTCAAACATGAAAGCCATGGTCAAAAATTAAACTGGAGAAGTGCCCAGTTTTGGCATATACCATTGGAAGCCTTCCAACACGCTGATTGTCCTCGTGAGGAGGAGGCTGTCTAGTGGGACCTTCTCCTCTTTCCCATCTCTGCGACGTCTTTCGTTGCTACAAAGTTTTGACGAAACGCTGTCAGCCAAAAGCCAGGCAAGAGGAGATCCTGCCTCTGTGGCCGTGCGGCTGCGTGCTGCGGCATCGACAAGCTGAACCTTGCGCGGCTCTTTTATGCGGGTGGGCAGGTTCCCCATTTCAACCACGCCTGTAAACCACCCAACAGGGCACGTTCGAGTACCCACAAACACGCCCCCCTCAAGTTTTGGACATCACTCACTGAACCAAACATTATTGTTCCACGCAATAAGGTCGGCTGGCTGCAACACTGAGACACCGGCGGCACAGTCACCACAAACCACTCGATGACCACAGGGTTCCAGGATGTACCTGACCACAGGCTCAACAAAAAGACTCTTCATTTTCCCTGCAAATGGTTTACATGTCATATGTAGAATTCCTCTTGAACCACCAAATATAGGCCTCATTTGACACCTTCCCGCGTGCCAGGCCTGGATGGTTTGTCCAAACAGACAAAGCAGGAAGGAACGAAGGTGCTTCGCTCATCTTTGGCCTGCGCAAGTATGTGCGCGATTGGCGGTCCAGAGCAACCTGTGGTGCGAAACATGGCCTGCAACTTGTCTCCCTTGCCGGAATCGCTGCGAGGTGGACGATCTCCTTTGTACTCTTTGCCTTTCGCTATGCCACGAGAGCCTCGGTGTTTCCGTGTCCCCGTTTGGTTCGAGCAAGCCCTGATCGCTGCGATCCCTTGAGAAAGTAAAGAACACGACTGACACATCCTGTCTGAATCACCGGCTGGCCCTGCCTTTGGCGCGACCGCTGGATTGCCCGAGGTGGAAGCGGTCCAGTAGTCTGCCAAGAACCTGCACCAAAAGGACCTGAATACAGCTTCATGACCTCACTCTGGAAGCAGTTCCTCCAATCTTGGACAGCCCACGGCCCATGTCGGGCCGCTCCTTGTTTCTCGCCATTGCGCGCCGAAGCCTCCTGGAAGTGCAGGGAGTGTTCGATTAGAAAAGACTATGCGGCGCCTCTCTCTACCTGTCTTCCGACCTGTCTATCTATCTCTGTCTCTTTCTATAGATCTAGCGTCTAGCGATGTATCTATCTATGTCTGTGTACGTTTTTCTTTCTGTCTATCTATCTCGATCTGCCTATCTATCCATCGCTCTCTCTCTCTCTCTCTCTCTCTATCTCTCCCACTCAACCATCACTCACTCTCACTCTCACTCTCACTCTCACTCTCACTCTCACTCTCTCTCTCTCTCTCTCTCTCTCTCTCTCTCTCCCTCTCCATTGTCAATATATACTATCGACCTCGTGAAACTGCTGCGCCCACCATGAAATCTGCGCCTGACCTTGCGAAAGCGCTGCGCCTACAGCAAAATGTCCACCTAGACCTGCGAAAGTCGCGCGCCTGCCACGGAATCTGCACCACCTTGCGAAAGTGCCGCGCCTGCCACGAAATCTATACCTCACCTGCGCCTGCCACGCCATTGAAACCTTTGGAAACCTGCGCAAATGGGCCGAGCAGCGAACCTGCGCCAAACCTGCGCCAAACAAGCGTCGAGACAGAGGTGGTTGACATCGACGCAGACCCGCCAATCCTTCGCGTAGGGACACTCTTCTTGCAATTTCTACTGCGTTGCACACCCAAAATGATCCCAATCCCCGTGCGGAAGTACCTATCAAAGGAAGTTTCGAAGGAACTTCCGAAGTACGGACACAGGATGCTCCGTCCTCACCGTCTGCAAGCTGGCCACAACGCTGCACAGATCGTGGGCAAGAAGGGTCAGTGGAATCGGCCTGAAACGCACGCGTGAAAGAGGCACGCAGTACGCAACTTACCCGACCGCGCAACCCCGTCAAGTATCACATATTGCGGTTCACTCCTTGCAAACCAAAGACAGAAAGACACATCCTACTGAAGAGTAAGGCTCCCACGAGGTTATCGCAGCCAGCGCGACACATATGAACGCTGCGCCAAGGATCGGGTTTGCGGTTGGCCCCGAGGTGACCTTTGCTGCGTGCGAGATACTCAAGAATAGATAGGGCGCAGCCAGTCGGCACAAATATGCACCTACACACAAACATAGACACACACACACAAACATGCAGGAAGCACACACACACACATACACTTCACCACCGCCGCAAGTCAAAGCAATGTCCAAAAGACCTATGTGCCCCTCATGCGCCGATTCTTGCCGAAGCTCGAACAGCGTGGGAGGCGAGAAAAGCGAGCGCACGAGGAAAAGCAGCATGCTGCTCATGATGCCTGCATCAGGCACATCCCCATTTGCAGGTTGACATGTTCCACTAGAGTTCATTTCTGGCTGAGGCATTGCCCTCAATCAATGCAGGGAGGGCCGTTACTCAAGTTTTGACATCATTTCGCACGCTTCAGCGGGAGGGTTGTGACCTGAATTCGCCTGCGCTTCACATGATCTCCACTGTTTGCCGCTACGTTGCCCAGAATGAAGCTGCCAGGTCTCAAGAGCAGTTCGCGCACGCCAGCGAAAAGCACCTGGGCACCAGAGTGGTCCCATCAAACTGGATGGTTTGGACTTGCATGGCTTGCATACCTGGGCTATCATAGCTATCACACGTGCAGATTTGACCACGATTGAAATACAAGCCCAAGAGCTCGTGGCGGAATCTCTTGATCGCACTGAAGTGATAACAATCTATGAAACATGAGGAATACAGGATTCATGCGAATTGTCAGTTGCTCGCCCTGCTTTAACATCGCAAATGGGGGTTTGCCTCCCTTTTGCGAGAGCCTTTGCGGGGCAAGTTCAAAAGGGAATCAACATGAGTCTGGGTCAATCCCCTTTTTTGACACTGCAATTTTGGCCCAAGCAAACCAAACTTGGATAGCTAGATTTCTCTTCTCTAGGTCAACATGCCAAGCCGCGTGGAGGATCAGAAGCCTCGGGGTGGCCACCAACAGCTCCATGGCCCGCAGCAAAGGTGCCAGCCTAAGCTTTCGAAAACGCCCGGGCGGTGTGACACTCCTTGCATGTCCCTGTCAAATTTGAAGAGTACCTTTGGGGCCATTTCAGAATGAGCTTCCTTTGGGGGAGTCAAACCTGAGGGCCCCTCGTTACAACACTTGCTCAAAGAAGTTGGGCCCCTAAATTTGGGGAGCCTTGAGTTCATCGCCAAGCACGCGCAATCATGATCACCAGGTGAAAAGGGCGCGCCACAACCGAAAGTAACACGCTGCCATCTGCAAGCTTTCAAGTAATTGTCAAGGCCTGCTGGCAAGCAGGCAACTTGAGTTGTCTTGCTTGGTCTTGCATGTCTTGGTTGGAATGTGGCTGGCTGATCTATCTGGGCACCAATTATTTCGACCTGTCTGGCCCGCCCCTACCCTCCCACCAATCATGGAAGTTGCGCAAACAGGGTGGATAAAAATGCCAGTCCACTTCCACGCTGGAAAGGAAGCAGTTGGGAGATGGTGGGGCGGCCCTTCGACCAACCACTTTGAAATCAAACGCGATGGCCCTCGCCGCGCCCTTCCAAGAGAGGCCCCTTTTTGGGCAGCCTTCAAGGGGGATCCCCAAAGGGCTTGCCATTTTGATAAAATGAGTCAAAACAAGTTTCGAACCCCTGAACGTTGGGTGTGGGGTTGCCTGCAAATATATGACTGGCTGCGGGTCAAAACAAAGTGTTGTTGAGGCCATTGAGGGAGACGTTTGAACAGGAAACCCAATTATTTGGAGGGAGTTCGTGCCCCTGTCTTGGGGTTCGTTTTGCCAGAGTACACCAACCTGGACTCCAATTCGGAGACGCAATTTGGCGGGCTCATTGCTCGAAACAAGGGGCCCAAATGATTGCGGATGCATGCGCTCCTTCCTAGCTCCCGCGATGCACGCAGATATCTTGCCAATCTAGCAATCTGACGGGTTTCTTGCCCTGCAAACCTATAGAGTCCATCCAAATTGGCTGCAACTTGGCGTCATCCTCCTGCCTATTTTTCGTGAAGTGCGTTGCGCGTTGAAGGATCAATTCGGCAGCTGCCCGTCTTATGCCACAATTCAACCATTGGAAGCTCTCTGACAACCTGCCGAACATTATCCTTGTTTTCCCCGAAGCTGAAGAGTTGACATTTGCGGATACCCGTGGACATGGCATGCTTTAACAACGCCTCATACTCATACTCATACTCATACTTTCTCCCTAAAATCACACTACTACTTGGCTTGATGGCTCCCAGAAAACGATCCATCTGCGCTGCTGCTTGACTCACGGCCGAGCAACACCAGCAGCATCCCAACCCAAAGCGGGTGGACGGCCGACCACAGAACACCAGTGCCTCAGTTGCTCGCAGCCTGTGATGGGCATTCCCCGTTGGATGACCGACCCTACCTGGGTTCTAGCAACCACATTGTGTCGCAATTGTTTTTGCCACATTCGCACCTATTTGGGGTTCGCTGCATGCTGTTGAGCTGGCAACCTGCCAACGTTAGAGTCAAACCCAAAATGGCAAATATCGCTGGACTCTTTTCAAAAATCGTCCGGCTGCGACGCGCTCCCGTATCCGCAGTTTGCACGCAAGCGGCTTCCTGCGTCGCCGTCTCCTGGCCCAAGTGCCTCGCCAGGTTTCACAGTGCAATTCACTTCCGCGAAAAGCTGGACCGATCTGCGGACAGCTTGAAAAGGGAGCCTGCATAAACCAACATGCCAAAGTGAAAGAACATACGCCAAAATGTGCGTGCTTAGAGTGAAGCCACAGTGGGCATGCGGGCGATCTGCATACTCTGTTCTTCTTCCGCGCCTTCTTCTTTCAAAGAATAGGGCCTAAGCAGCCTATGTCAAAAGCTGTAGCAGGCAAACACGGCGATGGCTTGCTATGGCCTTTGGTGCGATTGGCCCGAACCGCTTATTGACTCAGCATTGGGGCACTGCCTTGGAGTTTTGGCGAGTTCCGTCTGGACATTCGGGCGATACACCCGTGCATTAAACCCACTACGCCACCTCCTTGCAATCCTTGAAGCACCGGAAAAAGGCCACGCGAGCACATCGCTGACAAGATTCAGGGCTCCACACACGTGAGCCACTCAAGGCAATGAGTGTGGGTCACTTCAAATCAGACGAACCTCTGATGGCGGCACGTTCAACCTTGACTACAGGGCTCTGCCCGTAAGTGAGCCGCAGCTAACGGTCGTTGGCAAAACAAAGGAAAGGGTTGGAGCTACGCAGCGCAGCCCTCAAACGGCGTGCTGAGCGCAACACATGTTGGTACAAGCCCCCGAAACTGCTGCGGGTTGAGCTGGCCGACTCCAAGCATCGGCAGGAAAAGAATACGCAAATATTGCTGTCAGTCTTGCTCGAAAGCCGCGGAGTAGTTGCGCGAGCGCAACCACGGAAGATGGGCGACGCAACCGCCATGGAGATTTGGTAGAGCTGTGCCGAAGGCGCTAGCGTAGGCACATTTTGCCGAGCACAAAAGCAGTCAAGACCGTAGCTTGCTATTTAACAAAGGAATATAAATTGGAATCGATCAAGGCATCTTTCTCGGTTTGTCAATTCAGAATTTTGAGATTGCAGCTCAAAATGACACTTTGCAATGAACACTTAGCTCGTTTTGATTTCGTCTCGTCGCTCCGCTGGCCTTGTGGACTCCCAAGGTGAGAGCACTCAGAACCCAGGTGGAGTTGGCCATTCGAAGCCTCGGAGTTTGACTTGAAGGTCAAAAAAGAATCAAGGGCTATCCTTCAAGAGTTGCGCAGAGTCGGCCCTGGATGGGACCCGTTCATTGGATGGTTCTTAAGGGACTCTCTGAGTGGCTTGCGCAAGAAGCTTCATCCTGCCCGCCAAGGCGCTCCAAGCTGCTCAGGGATGTCAAATTGTCCAGCTCCATGGATGAGACTTCCACGTCTCCTTATAGGTAGCATGTCCAATAGGAGCTTTGGCTCGGAACCATTCAGGGTATCGGATACGGACACAGTGGGCACGGGCCAACTTGCGACCCAAGCGGTCTTTGACCTCGCCCTGTCCTGGGATCTCGTCGAAGCTGTTCTCCTCCTGCAAATTGAAGCGAGCTGTCTGTGGGCACGGCACGTTTGGGTCGAGACACCGTTTCAATATCAGCCTTTCGGCTGCACAATTCCAAAGTTCAAACCGGATCCTCTACCCTGCTATAGGCCATTCAATGCATGCAAGCAACTGGGGGATGTTTACGCTGTTTCTTTCGGATCGGTCGTCGCCTATCGCTTGACTTGTGTTTTGAGAAGTGGATGTTTGACTTTCTCACTGAAGGCTTGATGGCCGTCCTTGGCAAGGGATGTGTCAAAACAAGGGGTGACTTCTAGTGGCATCGAGGCCTGCGTCAGCTGGATGCCCAGAAGGTAGAAGCACTCAGCAACCAGCAGCATCAGCACCTCACCCGCTTCAGGCCTCTTTTAAGTTGTAAGGAAGGCTTTTGCTGAATGGAACACAATGGAACCACAAATGGAATTCCAGGAATAACCCCCCCGAGCTCCGTACCATGGTGGCACAGCAAATGTAGCGTGAAAGTTTGGATTCCAGCTCGTCCTGCGACACGTGCCCATATACACTCAGCCATGCGTCAGCAAGATCGGCTCATATTAATATGGTTGTGTGCAACATGAACTACGCCCCCTCGCTTGGAAAGCCCCAAATGAAAAGTCCAGGTGATAAGCCCTGAACCTCCCTGGTGATCTGTCCTCTGAGGCTTACCCAAACCCTCTGCAACCCTCTGCAACATCGATCCAGCACTGCCTCTCAACTTTGTATTGCGCCGTCCAAGAACAAACATGCCGACCTGTCCGAGCTGGCGTTCTAAACGGTAAATTAGCCAGAACGCCTAAGCCCATCCTCAAAAACAGTAAAGTAACTCTTACTTAGTTACTTGGTCGCAAGCTAAGTCTCGCGTCCTCCACTTCCTTGCGGGTCCATCGCCGGATTTCCTGGTGATTGCTCACATGTTCAACCCAAAACAGCAAGCGTCCCACAAAGTCATGATTGCGACACGTCGCACTCCAACAAACCTTTGAAATAAGACTTGCACCTCAAGATCTTGCTGTTTTGAGTTCGAAGCTCCCCGAACTGGATGCTTTTTGGCTGCGTGTTGATAGCAACCGGGGGTCACTGAGTTGCTTTGCCGCGTCACGTGGGACTCCGGCAGGCCTCCTTGGGCAATGGCTCAGCAGCGAACGGGGTGTCTAGGGCTGCCTCCTGGGCACCTGACACCCGGTCTGTGAGTGCCTCTGTATCCAGTCAAAATTTGTACTTAGTTTCCTTCAAAGCCAAGGAACAGCTCTCCCTTTTGAGACATGCACCAGGGTTCATATCCTTCAGAGTGGCGTGGTCAGGGCAGCATGCCCTGAAGGGTGTTTTGATCATACTCGGCGGTGCTGCCTGCGGGTGAGGGAAGTTCGGCAGCGTCCGGCAGCTTGCATACCTGCAAAGGAAGGACTCTGTGCTCAGCAAAACCGCAGAACGCTGGTTTTGCTCCATCAAGCAACGTTGCAGTAACAAAGAGGTGGCTGATGAGATGATGCTGAGACTTCCGGGGGCTTGCGCCGAAAACCGGCTTGGTCAATGGGAATAATCTGGCAAACACAAAAGAATCTAGTAAACTTTAAACAGTACAAACAACTGATGAGAACTGACAAAACGTGACAAAATACACATCCACCCGCCCACTTTACCGCGCCTGGCCGATTGTCGCCAGGAAGGCCTGCGCCGTCATCGGCAGATCCACACGCTTCGCCTGCGTCAGTGCGTCCAGCGGCGCCCGTGCCAATGCCTCGCAAGGCGTCACAGCACAAATGGCACACCCACATTGCCACATTGCTGTCTATTTGAAAGAACCAGCCATACAAACACAAATACTTTTGTGACCTCTATTGTCGGTTATGGGTGTCCTGAAGCATGGTGTCAAACCGTCCAACAGAAACATCCTAGTACCACAAGAGTACTTGTGCCGCCGTCCAAACTCCTTCCATGGGTCATGATCATGGTTCCCCGTGGTTGTCTAAAACCTGCTCAAGAAATTGGTGACCCCCAAGTAAAGGGCCACATGAAGCGTGGCATGAAGAATAGGCCACACATGAACCGCAGCGTGGAATCACGCGAGGGCCCCCTCGGGAAAAGCTAGCAGCGCGGGCCTTTGCCACCAAGCCTGGAGCTGCCGGCTCCCTGGCAGGGGATGCCGGTGGATCCAAGGAAGGCTGCTGTGCAAAACCGCCTACGCAGGATTTTCGTGAACCTACGCGCGCTGCCTACGCGAATCGCTTCTCCCACCAGAACTGCCTACGCGGTGCCTCCGCACAACATAAAAGGAGTTCCCCTCTTGGCAATAAACAACTCTCCTCAAACGCTGCTGCAGGCGAACAAGGCTATCAACAAAGCGGATTGCACACTTATGTTTGTGCTTGTAACAACCAAGCTTGTTCAGTGTGCTGTGCACCAGGTTGCAACATGAGATTGCCATCAGCCATGACCAACCTCTGCCAAAGCCTGAATTCATGCTGGACCCTTGCCTCAGGTCAGCGTGCACAGGGCCACATACCTTGGTCATGCCAAGGTGCCTGTAAACTAGCACCAGAAAGGGGAATCACAACTTCAAGCACTGCAGGCCTTGAGCTTCTTGCGCTCCAAATCTTCAACCCTAACAACCCCATCAAAGCTAACCACCCCAACAACCCTATGAGTAACAACCAACAACCCCGCAACCAAACTTCTCGCTCTGCGCGAGACCAACTTGTCACGGCTATGTCCTGCCGCGGCGCTAGGGTCTGCCGCTGCCCGCGCTGGCAGTGTCTGCAGCGGCCCTCCGGCACGGTGACCTGCACCTCCGCCCAAGTCATGGAGAAATAGGAATTGGGGACTCCTTTTTTGGGCCAACACACGAAAACAACTAACTTGTTGGCGACGAGTTCACATCTTTGCTTTTCGCCTGCGTGGCTCCAGGATCCCGAGTCAGGACCTTCAGTCAAACGCTTTCTCTGGGTCACCATAGGCTGCCTGATTGGTATCCAATTTGTCCGGGCTCCTTGCGTGCAAGCAGTGCTGGCCATAGCGAATTCGCTCGGCATCGTGAGTTCCATACTCCTGGACAAAATAGCAAACAAGACAGCAGAGTTGTGTGGCCTCCATGGAACAACTCCTAGTTTTGCTCAAGGACCGCCCTCAGGAGCGCGCGGCTTTCTACCATTGCTGACAAATCCAGGAGCAGTATCCAAGTCGGGGGTGTCAAATTTCATTTTGATGCTACTGTTCCTTTAAACTTGCTGGGTCTTACTGCCTCCCTTGGAAAACCCATATCTTGACAGCCTCCACTTCCCTTTCCGGTCGTCGTCCTCTGTGCTGGGGATGCAAGGAGCCCAAACCTCCGCACGCAGTGAGTGGCCGCAGTCGTACCTGACCACCTTGCGAGAGCCACAGCATCAGACTGCGCTGTGTGTCAAACTGCGACCCTGTTGGCAGTCTCAAAAGCCACTAAAGGGCCCTCGTATTGATCTGACAGAGTCCCCTTGGGATTCCTGGTCAGCCCAATTAGGAGATCGTGGAATATTTGCACAAGTCAGCTGCATTGGTGTCTCTTCGAACTCAGCGCATGGCAAACTCATTGCAGCCGCGACGTGCTGTGATTTGCCACGCCTCGAAACATCTCGCCGACAACCAACCCCCAATCAACGCACTCGAATGAAAATCAACATGGAAACCCAAACAGGGCTTCCCACCGAATGCACACCTCATGTGCCAAACGGCAACTTGGGAAGCAAAGTCGTTGCCAACTCAAGTGCAACCAACTCAAAGTCCTTGCTCCAGGCGGCAATATCAGCAAAGCCTCGGCGCTGGTTGCCCTCCACCAGGGAGAGCTCCTGGAAGGAATGCTGATGATTAATCAACTGCAAAGATCTGCAAAGGTACGATTCGATTCTCCAATTCTTTCTCTTTGACTCTGTGCTTGACTCTTCGCTGCCACTGCTGGATTGTTCGATTCAATCGCTCTAAAGATTTACCCCCTTCTGACGCAATGAACATCCACTGCTGAAAATGGGCCCAGCCTGATGTTGCTCAACTAGGATCCAAATCAAATAATCTCTCTAAAAAGGCAGTTGCTTCCACGACGCTTTGCACAAATACACGGCACAGCTTCCCTGGTGCACTCCTGCATTGCCGCACAGGGGTTGTTGTCAACTATTGCGCAGATTCTCAGAAAATGGCAACGCTCTTACCAAGCCGAACCCTCCTGCAATTGCTTGGACAGTGGATCTCACGCTGTTGCTCTGTGCGTGCGAGTCTACAAGCAATGTCTGACATTCGGGGCAACAAGGAAAGCCCAAGCTCTGCTTGATGTGCGTAGGTTAGCGTTGCTTCTTTCTGGACTTAGACAACGCGCAAAGTTTTGGGCATGATGTGGTTGAAGAGGATTGCACCTGGTAATCGTATTTGTCAACATCGCTTGTTGCGCGGCCCGACGTGCAAATGCTGCAAATGATCACCAAGGCAAACTCCAGACGTCCTGTGACATGCTTTGGCTGCTTCAACATCGAAACACAGTGAATGAACCATGGCGCCACTGACTAGGATTCTAATGCCTTGCACTATCCTCCGTTCTTGGCACTCTGCGCACGCGCAGCGGGTGAAACTCCTGAAGACAACCCAAGCTGTACATTGGGCGGTGTCACAGGAAAGCATCTGCAAAAGAGGTCTCAGGACAGGTCCACAGCCTCATTCATGCTGCCATGGGTAAGCTTTGGTCCATCAATTATAAACAAGGGAATGGGGTGTTCTGTTGATACTTTCGGCTTTTTGGCCATGACTGCTTGAAACCTTCAGTGGAAATTTGCCTTCCCAGTTTCGTTGTGGAGAGTGGGGCTTTCATCACTCGCTCGCTTCATCTCTCTTAGCGCCTCCGTGGCGCTTGGGTTCGTTGGCTGCAAGTGCTCCTTAACCTGGCTCCAAACAGAAACCAGGGGTTCGATTCCCAAACCACTTCACCAATCCGCCCAGGCTCTCGCGCTGCAGGTGGTCAGATCACAGGAGCGACGCGAAGCGTCGCGACACAGACTTGATCTGGAAAGGCCCCCCCCGCCCCCCCCCGGGATTGGCGTGATCGCTTGAGCACAATATTAGCGAACAACACATAGCCAAAAGTGTTAATTTTGAAGTGGCTGACTGGCGCCGAATGTGCTTCGAATTGGCGGTCTTATCGGGAGTGGGCCTCGGTGATTGTTGTGTGGCCGGACGCGTTGGCTTTGCAGTGCGCTGATCGCAGGTTCGCATGATCCGGCGCAAATCTGGGCGGTAAGGGGTCCAGAAGATCAGACTCCTTAACATCTTCAGCATCGCGTGCAATTCGCTTACAACATTCTCTGCAACATCCCTAGCATTGCGTACAACTGGCTTTCCAAAACAACCTGTCTTGGGCTCCGTGCAAGGATGGAAAATATTGGGGACGAGACATGTGGGCTGGTGGTCTGGATGTTGTTTGGAGGAACAAGGAGATGACACGCGTGCAATTTTGCAATTCTATAGTTCCAATTGCATGGATGTTATATACATATATATGATATATAATGTATACGCAAAAGCCCGAAAAATGGAAGCTGCTGCCTTCGGATATCCGCCGACATTGTTCGGCGTGTCGGACACCCAAGAGAGGATAGAGGATAACCCCCCCCCCCCCGGGACACGTCAATTACGTAGGGTTTGGGGGGGGTTGGGGGGTTGAAACCGGCAATTTGATGATGTTCTGCTAAAAATAGTCTTCGGGGAGCTGGTGTAGAAAAACAGGGGTCCCAGGCTCGAATCCCCCTGCCAGCTCTCTGCCGGCTCGGGTCTTCCGCCTCCTTTTGCCGAACACGTTGCAAAACACGGTGTTTTTGGCATCCTTTTGGCGAAGACGTCGCAATGCAAATGGAAAGTGAAGGGGAAACGCACGGGAAATAAAGGGGAAACGAAGGGGGGCAAATGAAGGGGAAATGTGCGGAAATGCAGAGCTGTTGCAGGGAAGTGAAAGGGGGCATGACAAGGACATGAAGGGATTGAAGGGGAAGCGACCAGGAAATTTAGGGGGAAGCGCCCGGAAATGAAGGGACATGAAGGGAAATGTGCGGGAAATGCAAGGGGAAAGGACGGTGACATGTAGGGAAATCAAGGACATGCAGGGGACAGGAAGCGGAAATGACAGGAAATCAAGGGGAAATGAAAGAAACACGAGGGGGACATGAAAGCGAAATGAAGGGGAAAGGAATAAGAAATGAAGGGAGATGTAGGGAAATGATTGGAAATGCAGCGGACATGAATGGGAAATGAAGCAAACATATATAAAGGGGAAATGAAGGGGAAAGGAACAAGAAAAGCAGGGGGAGTGCAAGGGAAACGCAGGGACATGAAAGACAGCGCAGGGGAAATGAACTGAAACGAAGGGAGATGTAGGGAAATGACTGGAAATGGAGGGAACATGAGTGGGAAATGAAGCAGAAATAATCAAGGGGAAAAGGACAGGCTTCAAGCTTGCCGGCCGCTCGGGCCGGAACTTGCCTGCAGCGCTGCAACGTCGGCGGACTGAGCCGGAGGCTCTAAAGCCTATGTTTCAATTGGGCTAATTCGCTGTGCCTCGGCCGGAACACGTGAGCGTTTAAAGCTAGGGATAAGCTAGGAACCCAGAAAAAGCTTCTCCCGCGTGTCGGGCCAACGCAAGTGCCGCGGCTCTTAACAAGTGGCATTTTGACCTTTGGCAGCCGCGTTTGCAACTCACTCACAGTTGCTTCCTAGGAAACAGGAACTTCCTCCCGCCTTCACCAGGAACTCCGTCTTCCATGCGTCAAGTGGCTTGATGGACTGGGCAATGGCAACAACTACTCGGCTCCGAGTCACACTTCCGCCGAGGCAACGGCATCAAAATCCGACAGCTTCTCGACGAAAGCGTCCACGTCACTGTCTGCGGGGGAGGCTTCACTCCAATCGTAAGCCCAAACGCAGCTTCGCGCTGGAGCCAAATTCAAAACGGCCAATGACATACCTGAACATCTGCCAAATCCAGGGAAGGCCCCAAGCGTCGTTCCATTTCGCTTCCTTTCACCTTCCTGACAATTTATATATATATATATGGATATATATATATATACATGTGGAAACCCAAAAGCAGGTCTTTGTTACGGGCTTCCTCTCTAAGAGGGCCCTTTGTTGGGTGTGTGAATTTGTAGGAACCCCCTAGGACCTCCCGCTCAGTTCCAACTGAAGGGTCCGGCTCTCAAAAGCTTGCGCCAGATCGCCGAGCAGCTCTCCTGTCCAAGGGCAAGGGCACCCCATCCCAAAATTGACAATCGACTCTCTGCAAATGCAAACTTCAGAACCGCTCAGCTCATTGGGACATCATGCGAATTCCCTTGACTGCCCGATTGATATGACCCACGGTCAAAGACACAAATATGAGGCCCCTCATTTTGGTGGAAGCTTAATCAGTGAGCTCCCCCATGTTCCTCTCAAATGAATCATAGTGACTGGATATTGCTTGACCGAACCTCACTTGTCACAGTGCAGGTCCCTCTCCTTCTCGGGAGCTGGCAAAGCGGGGGTCCAGCATCCTATGGATCCACAACACAGTCCACAAAAAGTCCAAAGGGCCCGGCTGGAGGGTTGGGCGCTCCCAGTTTCTCATGACACCATTCCGTACACCGGTAAAGCAACAGGTAAGGGAACCGTGTAAACAGGGGGGCCAACGCCCCAGCAGGAGTGTCTTCTAAGAAGGACTCTTTCTGGGCTCGATCTTGACTTGCCAAAGTGTTCGCCTCAACGTTTCCGCTTCTTTGCGGGAGGTGCAATGGCTCGCGATCCGAGAGGGGGGTTCGGTGGTTCGGTGCACGCGGGAATTCGCCTGTACTTGTCCAGCGCCAAGTTCACAGTGACACTGTCACCACCTCCGCTCAGATCGAGGCCCTTGCTCGGTCACAAGGCCCGCATCTCCCACATCAGCTTGGCCCAAGGCTGAACTGGCTAGAATGATGCTGTCAAGGGTTTCCATTGCAAGATGCCCGAGTCTTACACGTGCCTGCCAAGTGCAAGATGCCCGCATTGAGAAAGTGCTCCTGGGCAGCATAGTGCTCTCCACGTGCAGAACATCCGCCTTTTTGACACCGTCACGTCATCCGCCAGCAAGCAACAAATGCGGGCGGGTCCATGCTAGGCGCAGCACCTTTGCGCCAAATTGCAAAAGCGTCTTTCCCAAGGCTTTCTCGCCTCAGTCAATGCAGGCATTGGCCGTTTGGGATAGCGCAACCTTACTCTGGCAAAGGTGTCATGAATGGACAACATCTGGCTATGTAATCCATCTCACTGCCACACCTGAAGGATTGCTAAACGCCGCTATCGCAGGCTGCACAGTAGGTATCTCAACCCATGCTAGCATTCACTATGTGCTAATAGACGACCGCTGATGCGGCCAGCACCCGGTGTGGCAGACATACCCAGATTTCAGACCAACTGGCGCAATCCCAAGCGATGTATTTCCTCTTCCGAGCTCCCCTCCAACTTGCTCAGACTGGGTTTCTTGACCACCCTAAACCATCGCCTCACCGTCACAAGCTTATGTTATGGGTGACCGTCCAAAGAAGTTGGACCATTGCTTGGTTCATCAACTCCACGAAAGCTGGAGCGGTCTCCAATAAGCTCCACGGACCAACGGAAATCCACAGTTTGAGCGTTTCCCGCGCCGGGCCTTCTGCCTCAAATATCCGGATGGCCTCCTGCAGGTCGCCATCCTGGCAACATGGCGCAAAGCTTCTTGGAAAGCTCCTGCAAAGCTTCTTGCGTGTCGTGTCGCTTTCGCTTCCACTTGATGTTCAGAGCTAGTAAAGGCTTGTCTGCGTGCATCTGCGAAGCCTTGGCTGCAAACTCCGCATACTTGAGATTGCACCTAGGGCAGAATAGAGGCATTGATGATGGAGTGAAGCAACGCTCACTCTGGGCGTACGGCTTGGAAAAATTTGACTCGGAGTGATCTGCGAGCTCGAACATCTCCGCCGCTCGCTTGTAGAATTCCTGCCGTCCCGTCCCAGGAGGCACAATGTCTCGCCAAGCCTTGAGCTTAAAGTCTTGACAAGTCTGAAAGAGTGCTTTAAATTGAAGCACTGTGGCAGCTCAAGAAGCTTGAGTTGACCTGCATGCACCTCTTTGAATCAAGCTTGCCCCATCAAAGGCCCACGGGCCGATTCCCTCACTAGACTCTTCCTGTCAAGTGGCGCGAAGGTTGGCCACAAACGACCTCCTAGTGTTCTTCCCACTGAAATTCTTCCCTCTGAATGTTCACTCTGGGTGAAGCAGCAGAAACCAACCTACCAATGGCGGTGTGAGTTATGACCCTCTAAGAAACAAAGAAACAAGGTGAAGGAGCACCAGCTTGAATCACGACAAACCGCATCATTGCCTTGCACTCTTTGTGCTGCAATCTCTCGGCCTGTGACGACTCACAACGCGTCAAAAATGGTCATTGACGAAGCCCACAGAGCTCGCTAGCAACACAGGCCTCCAACATGGGAACCCTGTGCATTTCTCCCTTCTGTCCATTCAATCTGCCTTTGGCCATTTGGACGCAGCCTTGGCCAGCCTCCCTAATCCGAAGCCTCGTAGAGCTCGGCTATGGAGAACAGCAACTTGCCTGCCTCCCAAGAGAAACCCCCCTTGCAAGAGTCCTTTGCTTGGCGCTGAAGGTCAGACCAGCTGAAGAAGCCAACTGGGGAAGAAGCATCTTGATTGATGGAACTCCGCCTTTCCTTGTATAGAAACAACAGGAATGAATCTCATCGCATTTTTGTGACCTCACTCTAGGTGCGTGTGTATGTGCCTGAGCAACATTATGTTTCTCTGTTCAACTCAGCCAGCTTGATCCAACTCTCTTGACTGACTGCTCTATGTCAGCCAAGGCCGCCAGCCAAGGCCGCCTGCTGGAAGGATCCCCGTGCACTGTAAATGCCCACGGCCTGTCACGCAGCGCAAACTGACTTGCTCAAGTCATCAGTTAACCCCATGAAAATTATAGACTCGGTATGAATCCGGTATGAATCCTTGGCGAGCAATCCGGCCTGCTCTAGCTTCTCAACTGCGGCAACAGTTGAAACCTTTTTGAGCACCTGCAATGCAGCTACTCTGCATGCAATAGCCAAAGTCAAGAGCACAATGGCATAAAACGGCCAAAGCATGCTTCATCAATGCTAAGCTTGCAACATTTCCAGCTTCCATCAAGTAGTTCGCCTGTGTCACAAGGCAGCCAGGCATTGAGAACAGGCTCTGGCCAGCCTGGTCCGATTGTGATCCAGACTGATCTGCGCAGTAGGCGCATTGCGTGAAGCAATTTGCAGCCTCATGCAAGGCATGCCAGCTGGCGGCACAAAGACTTCTAACTCATGCTTCATGTGTCGATTGGCTGCTTTTCAGCAAAACCAACCGAAAGTGCTTGGAGTTTGAATGATCAAAGCTGACTTGACACGCCTCCTGCCACATCTTTGCCATCTTGTACTGATTGGCAGCTTGCTGATAGATTTCGATGGCCTGCAATAATTGTGAAAGCACGACATTTATCTACGGGCTGAACATCTTTGCCACGTAGAATGCTTACAAATGCGCTGTTCCCAGTAACAGGCCTCATCATACTTGGGACCACCCGTCAGGAATCCCAAGAGGCCGCCGCCTAGCGGATCTGGGTTGGGTCAAATTCAAACCACCAGAAAACCGCAGGTGTTTGTCTTTGTTTCCATTTATCGGGGTTCCATTTTGGGTACCGATTGTTGACCCACGCCCATCTCAGGTCCACTGCATCACTCTTTTTTGCGCTGCAGCGTCCTCCTTTCAGCTTTTGATCTGCCTTCTTCACCAACCTCGATCCACCGTGTTTTGATTATACATGAGCCACACTAACAAATTGAAGTACATCAGCAAAGGAGCCTGTCAAAATGATGTGTGCTTCTTTCGGTTTGGTGGCAACCAAAAAGGGGCATCCGCTGGCTCACAAACGTCCCGGGAGAACTCTGACTGCGACTTGCAGGCTGGGCTGGCAGCTCTTCTGCCGCTGCTGCCATTGCCTGAGAGCTAAGGTCTTCACATTCAATCATGTGGACGGGGGCGTGTCTCAAAAAAGGGAAACCAAAAGGGAGGACGGCACATTGGGTGGTCCCTCACTTTGACACATACCCGGCTGGTGGTTCAATGTTGACGTTGATGATCACTTTTTCTGGTCGGAACTTGAAAAGTACACCAAGAACGGCTCAATCACTGCCTTTTGCGCCGTCTATGAGTCATGTGTTGTTGGCTTGACGGCTTGTTTGCTACACATCCTGGGGCGCCGACGTCCGCACGGCCAACTGACAGTCTTCCCGCCCGTCCAGCCAAAGTCACAGGGATGAGCCGTTCGTGTGTGTGCATGTGTGTGTGTGTGCGCGCGTGTGTCTGTGGTTCCTTTCAAAAGGGTACCCTCGAAAGCACACACACACACAGCCAGACACACACACACAGAGACACACACACACACGCAGACATACTCGCACACACAGACAAACACACCATTTTGGGTCCCTGGATTTGACCCATACCATTTTATGGGTGCGCATATCATTGAGAAACCAACCATACAGGCTCCACCGTTTCAAGACCCTTTGAGGCAACTCGGCGATCGCTTGGGAGCCCGAGCGCAAATGAAAGTTCCTATGGCAATGTGAGTTGACCCTCACAGATGGCTGGGTTCCCAATGTTTCGTTCCCAAGCTCCCCAATTTTTGCCACGCGCATGTAACAGCTGCCCTTCTTTTCCTGTGCCTTTAGTCGCTGAGCGTCCGAGCCCCTTTCCTTTGCGAAGCACCATGTAAAATCGATCTACTCGACGCCCTTGCTTCCAAAGCGTGTCGAAGTACGAGCTGGACTTCACCTATCAATGTCGTGCAAAACAACATCAACGCGCACCCGACTGGTTGCCGAATGAAAAGGGGTGTCTCCTAAACTGGGGGACCTCCGAAAACGGTTGGTTTCCGATTGGCTTCCTTTTCAACACTAAACAAAGAGGTTCCCCACTTTAGCACACCAAGGACAAGCAGTTGATACATCCTGAGAGACGCGCCAAATGGCCGCTCGTTGCCCCTGGCCAACCCTTGTACAAATGCACCTGGAGCTTTGGCTGTCTCCGTCCGCTCACAATTCGGTTTTTTACAATCCCGCCCGCTATATAACATGACATTCAGTTTCGCCATTTTGAAAATGTTAGTGGGGGGGAGAGTGTAGGAAGGACCAGTCAAAAACTGAGTAGCACGCTCCTTCGACTGTCTCCTGGACGTCTGCGCTGATCTTCTCCACACCCTCCTGAGTGCGCCAAAGCGTCAGATGCCTTCGGCGGCTGTCCTTCTGGCTGAGTCACTGCTAAAAGCGCGATCCTACAACAATGCAGTGCATAAAGTTAAAAACATGTCAAAGGTCATTTTCGAGATGCCGAGCCCAGTACAGACGAGAAGGCACCATTCAATCCTGAAGCCAAACATGCCCGATTGCATTGAGATCCCTAGCTTCCCCCTTGCTCTGAGCCACTGGCCTGCCACCTTGGCACGCAACCGAACTGACCGAACGCAAAGTGAAAACAAGCTGTGCGCCTGGCCATACGGGCCAAACTTTGCATGTACCTGCCGCCCACCAGTGCGCGCTCATCACTCAGGGCATTGTATCCCGCGTCCTGCCTGTGGTTGTCGGATAGGATGGTGATTTGACACTCTTTGCGTAGGATGCGGTGCATCCTTGCTTGCATGGTCACTCAAACATCAATGCAAGGCCGCACCCCAAACCAAAGCAGTTTCTCACTGTGGACTGGAACGGAATGCTAAGAACATGGCTCTGCAAAAAGCTCTGGCGTCACCATGTGAAAGTTCGACCTCGATGATGAGCTCACACGAGGTCCAGTGCGCTAAGAACGATTTTGACTTGCCTTAATAGCAATCACCCAAAAGAATCTATGAAATGTTCCCCTTAACGCAAACCAGGAATCACCTCACTTTGGCCCCCACTCTGCCGCCTCGTCCCCAGACACGAAGGGCCTCGCCAGCGATTCAGGCGATTCGCCACCCGTAGGCCAGCAGCTGGCTGAGCTTGCGGCGGCTCGGGGAAGTTGATGAACACGTGTGAGATACAGCAGTTTGGCACCAGATGCCTCAATGTCAGTGTCAAAGTATCCAAGGTTCCAGAAAATATTTCCTCACTGTGCGCCTTGGAAAAGGAAACCAAGAAGTACTGACAAAAGTTTTGCTGCTGATGCCAGCCTGTAGACTTTAGAACGGCTGCGTTGAAACATCGGCCACAGCTTCGGAACCCAGGCAACGCAACAACTACCGCAACAACAACGACAACCACAAGCACAACAACCACAACCGGAACCGCAGCAGCACCAACAAACCAACAAGCCAACAAACCAACAAAGCAACTCGCCAACAAGCAAACAAGCAAACAAATCAGCAAACCACAAATTAACGACAGCCACAA